TTTTCTTTGTTGTCATGTGATTTGTTAATTTTTTTTTCACAATGAATGAATACATTGAAATTCTAAACTCTTTTTTATATGAGTTTCGTTTTTGTTCAATCTCAAGTGACAGTATTTTTAATGACTCTATTGTTTATTTATATGTTGGAATGTGTATGTGTTTCTTCAATTCTATTTTGTTTATCTTCATATTATTTCGATTAATATTCTAATTCATTTTCGGTGGATTGTTGATTTCATCATCGATTCTTTGTATGAATAGTGTCACTTTTTTTCTCTTTCACTCATAGTACGTGATAACCGATTTTTTCTTGAGCGACTTATTAGCAGTCAACAATTAATATAGATGGTTCGTCTTTCATCTTTCCATTTGTTGTCTAGAGCAAAATAAGTTTTTTTCTTTTTTTTTTGTTTTTCTATTCACATTAGCACAGATAAGGAAGAAATGAATAGCTATATTTCATAAGTTTCAAGATCATCTAAGTTATCGTTCAGAATTTGTTGTACTCAACTGATATTTATATCAAGAAGGTAAATGATTAGTAAAAGTATTAAATAGAAATTTTATTCAATTTATTTTTCATTATATTTTTATCTTAAATATGTAAAACAAAAACAACGTCTAGACTTATTTTAGCTTTAGATTTCATAAGAACATAAAAGGACGAAAATGAATCATATGATCCTCTCATTATAAGAAAAATAAGAAATAAGAATAAAATCGTAAAAAGATTTTCGCAGGTTTTCTAATAATGTATTTTCTTAATAATGATGCCAGTTGAGACTATAGTGAATTTTTGATCATAGTTCAGACGTTCCGAATATAAATTTAGTTTTATCTATATAAATAAGTCATCTGAAAACCAATGAAAACAATTAACATGTTGTTTTTATTCTTTATTCTCTTTGAATATGTATTATGTGGTCAAACAGCTATTCTTCTATGTGATTTTGAAACAATTTGCAATGATTTTATTATTGATAAAAACTGGGGTTTAACTGATGGTCTTCATCCTCAATCTATCGATCATGATCATACTTTAAACACAAGTTCTGGTCATTATCTATTCTATAATCCACAAAAATTACCACCATTTTATGACATCAACGCTGAAATTAAAACAAAAGATTGGTTACAATTATCAACAGATCGAACTATATGTTTTCGAATGTGGTATTATACTCCTCGATTAACTCTTCCATTTACTATTCAACTAGTACAAGGTGATGATGCACAACTGACACGAATTATTGCATCTATTCCTGGTAGAGATCCAACGATTGACGATTGGACATTTATTAATGTCCCATTACCACCTGAAAAAATCAAAATAGCCATTCGATTGAATGTTTCAACTGTTCCATTAACATTTGATGATCTTTCTGTTGATTATTGCGATGAACCACGTCCATCACCTCCAACAAATCTATATACATGTGATTTTGAATCATCATGCATAGAAGATTTTTCTTCTCTACCAAACTATCCCTATCAATGGTTGGTGATGAATGCAAGTGATGCTATTAAAATAGAAAGTCAAGCACCGTCTGTGGATTTTACATTTGGTAATCAATCAGGACATTATGTCTTCGTACCTAATTCGAACAGTACTAAAGCAGGAAATGTTGGATATCTTGCTCTTCAAACATCATTCAATATCACTACAAATGAATCATTCTGTTTAAATTTTCAATATTATAATTATGGTCAAACAGCTGCAGGCAATTTAAACGTATATGCACAGTTGTCAGAGTCATCTGAAACAGTGCGAAAGCTGTGGCCACCAATTGGTCGTCAACATATGTAAGTTACATCAAAACTCGAACGAAATTTTAGGGATAATAATTCATTTTATTGATTTTAAGATATACTCGCGATAAGTGGTAAGTTATGGTTTTTAAAGAATATAATTAGTTGTTGATCGAATATATTTTTTCATTGGACAGGATTTGGGGTATTGTAAATTTGCCTGTTGATTATTATTCATTACTATTTCGTGTGGATACTACTGGTACTAATCCTTATTCATTTGCTTTAGACAACATCTCTATCACATCATGCGATTATCCTCCTTCAACATTTACTGATGACAATGCTGGTCTTCTTTCTTTTTCATGTAATTTTGATAATTTGACCATGTGTGAAATGGAGAATGGCGATCGTTATACTAGACCTACACACAATTTTACTATCATTACTGGTGATACTGTTCCTAATCGAAAGTTAGGTCCAACACGAGATCATACGAGTAATTCATCAACAGGTGGTTTCATCTACTGGAATCGACAGTTACCTTTCACTCCAACAGATTTAGGCTATATTCATCCTCCAAAACCAATGGCAGTAGATTTGAGTATGTGCATTCGATTTGCTTATTATATTAAATCATCAATATACAATAAAAATGGTACAACATTAGCTGTAACAGTAGGTGGTTGTCTCGGTTCAACTTTGTGGTATATATATACAGATGATAGTCAAGGATGGCAAGTCATTATACTGCCTGTACCCAATGTTGTATGTATGGAATCTTTTTATTTTACGGTTTATCAAAAACTACCAGTAGAAGTCTCAGTCGCTCTTGATGATATTGCAATAGAACATTGTAATACTCTTTCTCCAACAACTACTTCAATATAAAAAACAACAGTAATATTGACAACATCTGCAATGTCTACAAGTACATCAACAAAAAACAATGTCCGAAGATTATTATCTTTGAACGGGTTTAATGTGATTGTAATTTGTTTTTTGTTAAAAATTTTCCAAAAACTATTTTAACTACAAAGTAATTTTCATATTGTTCGTTTACTTTAATCATGCGCAATGATGTCCTCAGACTACAGTTTATCCATAAACAATTGATTATTAAAACCATATTTCGATTTGTATAATAAATCAAAAAGGCCAGTAAAATAGAATGATAGACAGTTCATCTGCTCAAGTCTTTGCTTTCAAAGCATTATTTGAGTCTGCAAATCGCAGTGACCTAGTCAGGATTTTGACGGCGGAAATTTCAGGCGATCGAGCGCTATGTCGATAGTAGGGATCGTAGCAGAGTTTAGCTGGCGAGGCTTCATTCAGTGGAGGCTCAGTTCCTTAGTCACCCCTTAGTTACATCACTGACAAATCGTCTAGATGTTTCATGATATTCTGTTTTAAGGTTGACACAATGAACCGAATTCATAAGAATTTCGTTAACCCGAGTTGTCACTTCAGAAATGAAAAAGAATTTTTTTGTTAAATGTTAAGAAGAATAACTTAACATGATTTTTAAGAGATAGCATAACAAGACGAAAAGATTCAAAATGATTATATCAAATTAGGGATGCAACAGTGACGATAACCGTAGGTACGGTTACCGGTCCCACTACGGTAACCGTACGTACGGTTATGGGTCCCACTACGGTAACCGTAGGTACAGTTACCGGTCCCACTACGGTAACCGTAGGTACGGTTACCGGTCCCACTACGGTAACCGTAGGTACGGTTACCGGTTCCACTACGGTAACCGTAGGTAGTTATCGGTTCAAACTCGTTGTCAACCGATAACCATAGGTAGTTATCGGTTCAAACCCGTTGTCAATAAAAACAGCATTTTTTAAGAAAATAATGATATTTTATAAAGGTTGACGAAAGTAAATCGGGGTCGAAGAATCTGAAGTCAGTTTTTGAAAATTTCGAATTAAATTTTTTCGACACAGGAAAGGGTTTTTTAGAAAAATAATGATACTTTATAAAGGTTGACGAAAAGTAAGTCAAGGTCGAAGAATCCGAGTCTGAAATCAGATCCTTGAACTTTTCAATTTTCTCTTCCCAAGACTAAACCGTTCCTTGAAAGTCGTCTTTTTTTCTAGAAAACTTTATCTCTCAAAAACATCATATGTGAAGAACTAAAACTCAAAATTTTCAAAAGCCGACTTCAGATTCGGGTTGCTCGACCTCGATTTACTTTCGTCAACCTTTATAAAATATCACTATTTTTCTAAAAAACCCTTTCCTTTGTCGAAAAAATTCAATTCAAAATTTTCAAAAACCGACTTCAGATTCAGATGCCTCGACCCCGATTTACTTTCGTGAACCTTTATAAAATATCGTTATTTTCTTTAAAAATGCTGTTTTTGTTGACAACGGGTTTGAACCGATAACTACCTATGGTTATCGATTGACAACGAGTTTGAACCGATAACTACCTACGGTTATCGTACTTCGACCGGTAACCGTAGGTACGGTTACCGTAGTTGGACCGGTAACCGTACCTACGGTTAACCGATGAATGATCGTCACCGTTGCATCCCTACAAACAATCATCAATCAAAGGAGTTCTCTAATTTCTCTTTTGTTTAGATCCATCCAAAAAACATATGCTAATATAGAAAGGAGACAAAAGAGAAACAAATCTTCCAATGGCTCGAACATTTAATGTAATCATTAATAATTTATATAAGCAGAAGACGAAAATCTACTTCGATTCGAATAACTATTTGAGATAAAATGAAGACAACGGAACAAACTGTTAATTGAAAGATTAAATTATACGCTAATATAAATTCAAACAATATGATAATTAGACGAATCGCTTGTTTAATTTGTTAAACAAATAATACTAAATCTTGTGATAAACAGAGAAATAAATTTTTCTCTTGAAGATTGAAAGACAAATCTTTCAACAATGTTTGAATAAGTAAAAAGATGGTCGAATTATTCAAATACTGTAAGAATCTTTTTATTATTCATTTTCTTAAATCAACTTGAATTTTTATTTAGATAATAAATTTAATTTATTACAAAAAAATCTATTCTAAGTAATAATAATGTTCATTTTATTGATTTATCTATATACAAAATGAAAAATGAACCATAAAATGATGTTATTTCTTTAAATAGAAGATAAATAATAATATTTATTTAATGAATATGATGATAATATCTAGTTGACAAGGATTTCTAAAAGAAAAACAAAACAAATATTAAATACTGATATTCTTAACTCTTACTTTTATTTATTGATTAATGTTTGTTTTTGTTGTAATTCTTTTTCTTTATATTTATCCATCTGTTCTTTTCGTTCTGTAAGATCATAAATTTGGTTTCCTACTGTCATTATAAATTCAGTAACGTTTTTTAATGATCTATACAAAAATAAAGAATTTTTTTTTTACAATAATTTATCTATAAAAAGAAGAAAGCTATTAAATTTACCCATCATTTTCATTAACATAATTATTTAGTGGCATTTGCAAATGTAATTGACTATTTTCATCCTAGAAAATGAAAAGAAAGAATTGAAGGTAATGTGTAATAGTTGATAGTTACCGTGTTGAATTTAATGTAAAAATTTTCATTATCAAAAAATTGTTTTGTATGTATAATGAAATTCTCGCCAAAATAATCAATATCGATTGAGTTCGTTTCATTTTTTCTCAAATCGATAGTTTTCTGAAACTAAAACTATAAATGTTAATCAACTGAAAAAAAAATCAATTCATTCTTACTTTAGGTATGAGCAAAGCGTGTGGATTATTATCAACATTTGTTGAATTATTTTCACTTTTCATTTCATCCATAATTTTATTATACTATAAAGAAATAAGTTACTCAAATGAAAAAAGACAGTTAATCCTTACTTCGTTGTTCTTCACAATATTAAAATCTCTACTTAAAAAAGTCCAATGAACCAAAAGGATCAATTTTTCTTTTGGATGTTCATATTTATTTCTGTGTGCATGTAAAAGAATATCAAGATATCGAACGTATTTCGTCATTAATATCTAGAAAAATAATCAATCATTCTTCATTTACATACAAAACAAAAAATTAAGCTTTAAATTATAAACAAATAACAAAAAAAACTTTTGTATCTCAACATTTTAACTAATTATAAAATCGACTTTATTTCATTCAATAAAAAAATTTCAATGACAAAATAAATCAGATTTAAAAGTGAAACTTTTCAATAATATTTTTAATAACTAACTTACATTTCTTTTCTTACAATAATCTTCACTTAGACAAAACTTTTAAATAACCTAAATAATATATAACATTAATTATTCATTTTCTTATAAATGAAAACAAACTTTACTTAGATAAATTATATCTTGGATGAGAGAAAAACGTTTATTACAGTATATACTCAATTCTATATCTTTTCTAATGTTTTGTTTGTTTGTTTATGTTACATATATGTATCGCAGATGAATTACAATACTCGACGAAATTATAATAGTCGTCAGACAAATTTGACGAAGTTGTAACTATTTTTTGTGATGATATGTTATAAACTTCGTCTCGTCAATTTTGTCTAAAAAAGTTAAAAGTTCATTGAGCAATGTAATTTCTCTATGATACATATACATTAATGTCGAAACTGACGTTACCTTCAATTTTAGATTCATTTAAGCAAATATGATAGTCGAAATTAGATGCACATTCGTTCAAGTCATTTTTTCATATAATATAGAATAGAAGTTCATTTTAAGATTAGACTTAAATAGTGAGACGAATGCTAAATTGACTAAGACCTATATCAGAATAAACACACTGTTTCATGTACTTGATGCTAAGGATCGTGCTTAAAAGTTATATTTCTATTGAGTAAGGCAATTTTAACTATAATGAAATAAGAAAATATAATGAAGAGACAGATTTTCCACAAAAAATGAATTGAGTTAAATGCAATTGATGTCGTTGATTTTGACAACATTAACAGTTTTTATGAAATTTTTTAGAAGAAAAATATTGTTCTCTTTACATACCGATGATTTAGTTTTGCATGCATATTTACAAAGAACTAGTAGTTCATTGACTAGATTATGAAGAAATTGTATGGAGGTCAATGGAAAACAGCGGAGACTTCGATCTTGAAGTCTTTCAAAGTCTTTTGAAGCCCTTAAGCTATAGCTTTTAACATAGATTGAAGTCTGATAAAGTTCTGTGAAGTCTTTGGAAGTCTTGTGAAAATTTGAAGTCTCTGTGCTTGAGGTCTTGAAGTCTGCTGTTTTCCCCTTGATGGAGATAGTTATAACGGATATTTGTTTTAGATGAGGTTTGTTCAGATGAATTAGTTGTTGAGGTATAGCTGAAGGTTTTATAAGTGATTCGAATCATCAATATTGATTGATGGCATCGAACTTACCATGTCATTTATTTTTTTTTGTCATGACGTTTTTCAAGAGCAGTCTATGGTTGGATCTTTTGATTCGTATGCGTTTTTTTAAGTCTTGTCGATTTTAATGTCAATGTAATCAAATTTGATCGTTTTGATTCGAATTTGATAAATACTCTTGTTGAGTGCAGTTACAAATTAGGAAACGAAAGATCAAATAAGGAAGTTAAACAGAAAAGCATACTACCGAGTGGAGAATTAAAAGAAATACCTATCGAAGTCGAAGTGAAAGATTAAATTAAACATGAAGTAAGATGTATGTATAGTGAGAAAATATTTGGATTACTGCCTAATAAAACAATACGTTGAAGCAGAACGTAAACTTTTCATCTTATATTATTGACTATTATATTGCTCTTAGCTTAATTTTCCTATGACTCTTTCAGTTTAGCTTTTACTCGTTTGAATTTCTGAAGCCAAGTTTCTTCTCTATATTGTAAGCAATTCACAAACTTCACAGTTCATTCCAATATTAGTCTAAATCGATCTGAAATTGCTCGCATCTGTCTTTCATTCTAACAATGAACTAATTAAATTTTGAATTCGTCTGAGTATTTGAGTCCAACTTTAAAAGAGATTTGTTCTGTTTTATCCGAGAATGACCCTGAAGGAATGTTCGTCAAATGTCGGATTATGGTAGTCATCCAATCTCAGTTCTCATATTCACCTAAGCCAATCTACGATTGCACGTTATATCAATTTGGACGCTAACATATATATCTTCCCTTTTCTATTTTGCAATATATTTACTTTATTTTTTAAATTTTTAAATAAATAAAATGAATATTTGCTTTATATTCGTCATATAAAAGAGAAAGTCTCAAAAACTGTTAGAAGCATAATTTTATAAAACAATCAATTAAAAATGTTAAAGATTAATACTGATAAACTGAATTTTCAACGTTGAAATCATATTGATATTTATCGAAAAAAAAATTATCACCTGCTGCACTTATTACATTTCACTTTGCTGTTTTTTATCATCTGAAAAATATTACAAACAAGTTCAAATATTTATAAATATCTTTTACAAATAATAACGAAATTTTTTGTTTGAAATAAACCATTATCATCGGATATCATTTGTCATCTTATTTTTTTAATATTTAAATAAATTAATTTATAAATAAAAGTTTTTTCGCCTATTCGAGTTCAGTCCCGATATTAGTTTGAAATATTTTATTCTTCCTTATGAGCGATTTTATTTTCATCATAAAAGAGAAAATAAACATATCATTTGTATGAAGACAATGTTTTTATAAATGTTTTATCACATTTGGTTCATTATAAAAACGTATGCGAGCCAATTTTGGATCGTTATTTCATATTTCGAATCTTGGGAAATTGAAATAGGTTGTTGGCTTATTCAATTGATTATCATCCATTGAGGAATAAAATAGTACTAGCTAAAGGCGTTTTTCTACCAATTAAAAGTTGTTCGATATAGTCATCATGAATATTAAGAAAATCTAATTGAGTAAGACGAGCAAATTGAAGAATTAATAAAGGAGGGGGGGGGGGCGATAAGAAGCAAAAACGGCCCCCAGTCGTAATTCGACTTTGTCTTTCTAATTTTGTCAGTTTCAGTGCCAGAACTCTATTTCTATTGAAATTATACAATTTGATAAAGTCCACCTTGTACCCAACTCGATTTAGCTACTGCTGTTATATGCTTGAAAAAGCACTAACGTAGATGCTGGTTTAGTGATTATTGCTTCGCTATTTCATTTTCATGTTCTCTTGATTTATATATCAAATTAAAGATCTTTCTTTTCTCTATCGATTGATGATAAAATATGTTGAGAAATAAGTACGTAAAGGGGTTCTACTAGTCTAAAGAATGAAAAATTCTATAGAATATATGTATGTTATAATGATAGTAGAGGATGTTTCACTTTCTGAAACATGTCCGTCCACTTTCGATCATTTATTAATTGATAGGTCTAGTCAAGATCTATCGATTGATGATAAAATATGTTGAGAAATAAGTGGGTAAGGGGGCCTACTAGTCTGCACAATGAAAAATTCTATAGAATATATGTATGTTATAATGATAGTAGAGGATGTTTCGCTTTCTGAAACATGTCGGCCCACTTTCGATTATTTATTAATTGATGGATCTGATCAAAATCTATCGATTGATGATAAAATATGCTGAGAGAAAGGTGGGTTAGAGATCGAGTGGTTGAAACAAAAGTATAATATGACGCATTGTTAGATATATATGTATGTTATGATGACGGTGAAGAATTTTTTACGGTCTGAAATCTTTGTGTCAACTTTGAACTATATATCAGGTGATAAATCTTATCGAAATTTATCCTATCGATTGATAATAAAATATGTGAAAAAAAATGAATGACTACGTGTATGTTTAGAGATATTCGGCACAAATTCATGTGAATAATTAAGCCGCTTTTGTTGAGAGTGTTATATGAATAAGTCAACAGAATCGTGTTGAAGAATAGTATCATATATAAAGTAAAAATATGAACGAGATAGAAACTTATTAACATAGTTACTGCAAGAAAATATGTCGGATCGGTTACAATAGAAACTGAGCGACTTATGTTGCTTTAGTTCTTTTCGCAAATATGATAGTTTATTAATGTAATGTGAATTGAAAAAGTGTCTTCGATATGAAACATGAGAACAAATATTCATTCGGTGAAATTCATGATAACGAGTAACGTGATGTATCATCGTCGTCATCATCAGAAGAGTCATAAAAATCTGAAATTTGAACGGCATCTGTAGCCAAGCTCATGTAGCTCCCGGAAGGCATATGACGCTTTCGCGTCTGCCACCATTCGCAAGAAAGAAACCATATTGCTGATGATATATGACTACAGCAGCTTAAAAATCGACCACCAAGATTACAATCGCACCACCAACCTAAAATATGATCATGTGTAAATTGTATTGTTGGATGATAGATTGTTCGATCGGCGTGCGCAGATTTTGTAGCAATACGTATCAAATTGGGAATCATTAAACAGCGTTGAATGCTGTATTCCATTATGCCAGTTAGATTTGTAGTGGAACACTTCTCTTCGGCATATGAACGAGAGCGCTTTAATTGAAAAACGCCTATAAGAACGATAAATTCTTCGTATGTGAAATTCGCGCATAAAAATCAAAGTTAGATGATTACCGAAAGTTAGATCTCCCAGATCTTCTTCTGACATAATTGGAAAAGAATCCATAATCTGATCATGATTAATTGTTTCCCATTGAGAAGAGCGTCGAAATAGATTATTTTCTTCCAGAAGCTAAATAGTGAAATGAGAAAGCTGATACAGAACATTTATCTTGTATTAATTATTTACCAATTGAATTTTATTTTTCTGGTTTAGTAATCTCATAATCTTTTCACTAATTCCTTTGTCTTCTGGTTTGGATGTTGCGATTGGTGTTTGATAGCGATTGATGAGGTAGCAAACAATCGAAAGGTCACTTTCTAAGTAAGGTAGTGATGAGTTTTGAACAGTATTAGCAAAATATTTGAATTGTTTGATGCGACGATTTGCGGCCTCGACTGTCCATCGTACTTTTGTAATGCATCTTGATTGATTTGCTTCATCAGATGAAAATTGTCGTTTTCCATCAAGAAATGGTGGCATAGCAACATCAAGACCGAGAGCTTGCATAACAGAAATCGAATCTCTGAAGCCTCTGTCAACCACCAGAATATCACGCTAAAGAATGATACTATATTTTGACATTTCAGAAAGAAAATCTTACTTCTTCCAACCAGTTAAGTATATTGTCAGTATTTCGAAGTAGAATATCATTCATTATTGAAGCATCATTGTTTTTGAAATCCGAAAAAAAAGGTCCAATACACGCAACTATATATCCGGTTGTTGTTACTATCATCATTGGCTTGAGTAAAGATCTTTTCTTATACAAATTAAAGGTTTTTCGTTGAAATTGATTGTTGCGCGATTTCTAAAGCGTAGTTATAGTAAAAACTAACTTGAAGGAGCGTAAACTTATTTCTCACCTGTATATGGATATAAGTTCCATCAATAATGACGATCGCTGTATTAGAAGCACCACCACACATCAATTCTCGGGCAATTGTTGTGGTGTGATAGTTGATAACATCTTGACGCGTAATGTGCCCGAATCCTAAATTGTATGGCACAAAACTTTTTAAAATAGCTTGACGAGCATTGTCAATAATTCGGGAAAACTGTCTTTTTATCTGGCAACTGAAACATACATGCCAATAAACGATTTGATAAACCGAGACGAATTTTGCATAGATAAATACCGATCGCGGTTCGTATAGATCGGTTAGATGAGTTACGGATGCCAGATAATGATACAATTTTAACAAATTCATTAAAATCATCTTTTGAAAGACTAGTTAATAAACGATATTCGTCCTCTGTTAGACCTCGTAGATCATCGAAGTTAAACTTTTTATTATGATTTTCAAGTATTATTTGGGATTTGTTTAGAAGAAGTTGAACATCAGCAGAATTTAATTCTGCTTGTCTTATTGACACCGGTTTGATTTGATCAATAGCTTCTTGTTTTAATTGGTGATTAGCTAAATGATCTGCACAGCATCGTGCTCCCTCTGGAATCCATATATTACGTGTAAAAAATATAAGATCTCGATCTTCCGATGAAATATTAGCTGCATTTTTCTTTAAATCATTCCGACAAATGCAACAGTTCCTAGAAAATAATATTAAACTACTTTTACGCAAAATCTTCTTTATATTTACTTGTGCGAAGATGAAGTAGAATTTAACTGTAATTTGACTACTTCCTTTAGTACAACATTGCTCAAATCCCCATTCATTTGTACTGATCGAAACGATGAACCATCAACTTGAACATCCGTACTAGAGCTCTTTCAAACAAAAAAAATCAAATATTAAAAAAGCAAGAGGCAAAAATATTCACCGAATCATCATCAAAAGAATTTACGTCAACCATATCAGATTCCAAACGAGACAAAATAGTTCCAAATTCGGGGTTTTCGTTTTTCCATGTATTGTACAAATGACGACAAATATTACATATTTTCATATCACTCGTAACGGATTTCATTGTTCGAATAGACATAAACATTCTCATACATGGTGATTTTAACGGTCGCACAGCAGAGCTACGATCCAAACGAGTACCACAAAGACAATAACGATCAGGGTGTGGGTGGGTGTGGGTGTGGGTATGGTTATCAATGAAAACAAGACCCATACCCGCACTCACACCCACACCCACACCCAATTACTCAATATTATTGAAATTCACAATAA